CTTTTTCTGTGCAGAGAATTTTAGTTTGATGTAATCCCACTTGTCTTTTTTTCCTGTGCACTTACATCCTTGTCTAAAATATAAATGCACAGACTGATATCATTTGTTTCCCTTCTGTTTTCTCCTAATATTTTTATTGTTTCTTCTTTTACAGTTAAGTCTTCAATGCTTCTTGACTTGATTTTTATGTATTCAATTTGAGTCTTCTTCCATTCTTTACAGATGGACATCCAGTTACTCAGGGCAATTTATTAAAGTGTTTTATTGTCTATATGTGTGCTTTTCAATTTGTCAAAAACATTTGACCGTAAATGTGTACATTTGTTTCTAGGATTTCTATTCTGATCCATTGAAGTATGTGCATATTTTTATACCAGTATTATGCTGTTTTTGCTACTATATCTCAGTAGTATGTATGTATCCTGGAAAACAGAAATAAACACTACAAAAAGATGTAATCTCAATCCAGAATGGCCATAATACAAAGTCAAAACTTACAGATCCTGGCAAAAATGATGCAAAAGGAAAACTCTTGTCACTACCTACAAGAATATTCATCAGTACATCCATTATTGAAAACAGTGTGAAGGTTCCTTGGAAAATTAAAGTTACCATATCATCCTATAATCCACAACTACATATTAGTCAAAAGGAATTTAAGTCAGCACATCCAAGATATCTGCACGCTCCTCTTATTTCAGAACGATTCACAATGTCTTAGATATGGAATCAAAAGGGATACTTATCTCTGGATGACTGGATAAAGACCATGTGGTAGATACACAAAGTGGGATATATGCAGTCTTATGCAGGGCACATTCTGTCTGTGCAGCAATGTGGATGGAACTCAAGATCCTACTAGAGGATATAAACCAAGCATAGAAAGGTATACATGGTTTAGCTCATATTGGGAATCTAGCAAAGCTGAGCTCATAGAATTGGTGAACAGAATAGTGGTTCCTGGAGGACAGAGAGGGAGAGACTGAGATGAGGGAGAAAAGAAATTGCTCCACAAGTGCAAATCCACAGCCCACAGGAGGAAAGAATGATGTGTAATACCACGCATATGTGGATTATGGTTAACAATCTTGTATCGTATAACTCAACATAGCTAGATAGAAGATGGAAATGTGGTGGTCATTATGCAGTAATAAATGTTTGCAGTGATCAAGAACCTACATATCCTGAGTTGATCAAAACACAAAGAACATGTCTGTAATCACAGTACTTGAGAGGCTGAGGCAGGAGGATCACTGTGAGTTTAAGTCCAGCCTGGGCTACATAGTGATTTAAAGGCCAGTCTAGACAACATAGTGAGACCCTGACTCAAAATACACACACACACACACACACACACACACTGAAGGTACTAAAGACTAAAGTGTGCTATGGTATGCCATTTAAAAGTAGCTATTGTTAATGAAATTACAATACAAATAAGTAAAACTGTGGCCTATATAATGTTTATATTATGGCATTGTCTTTGTGCTCTGCTAATCTTAAAGTTTAAAATAAAAAATGTCTGTGTACTGTATGTGATCTACAATGGGTGGAAACACAATTGAATTTCTAATATTTCTAGAAGGAAGCCTACATTCCTTTCTGATGCACAATAATGTTACTTTTATTTTTTAACTTTTCACTGGTACATGTTTGCAGTAGATAATGATTACATTCCTTGTGGGGTATATGTACATAACATGTACATAACGTACATAACAAAGTCAGCAAAAAGGTATCACATAAATACTTCATAACACTGCCATAAATTTGTCCCATGGAAAGAAAATGAGTATGTAATGAGGTAAAAGAGCTTCTCAATTTTGTACAGAAGTGACATTTCTGCCTCAGGCATACTGCTTCCAATGCAATTAGCTCTGAACATTTTAAAGAAAAATTCCCCCCAGTGGTGGCATCAGTCTGCCCCAGTGCACAGCCCTTTATAGAGACCAACAGGAACAGCATGAAGTCCCTGCATACTCCGTTTCCATCCTTGATATGGTAAGTTTATTGTTTTAGGGTCTTGGTTTAATCACCTTCAGGCATATTTCTCAGCTCAAGATGATTTTACAGACAAACACATCAGAAGAGGGAAATTCCCTGTAGTGTTCATCTCTACACACAAGGCCCTGAGTTAATGGTCTCCCTGCACTAGCTCAGGTCTCAGAAGACCCCATCCAGGCACCCTCAGGAGCCCCTACTCATCACTCTGTCTCCTGCATGGATTCTGATCACTCCCACTTCGCTCTCCATGAAACACCAGCCTCTGAAGAGAACCTGCCTCACTAAAGCTGGGCCAACTTTGCTCCACTGGACTCTCACTCCTGTGTCTCTTTCTTCTTCACCTCAATGTCAGTGAGTGGAGGCCTTGTTGTTCTTGAGTAGCTTGTTAACCTCCTCCTCCAGTGAGTCTCACAGAGAAACAGAGCATAAGTAATTTCACTTACTTGATGAGCCTGGGCTCTTCTTGGTAATAGGGCTAAACTCAAGACAACCACAATGAAATTATTAAGAAAATAATCTTTAAAAGCATAATTATTATTCTCAACACACAGATTTTCATGTCCAAGAAAAAAGGAAGACAGAAAAATTGAATACATTTTTAAACTCAGTTGTAAAAGAAAAACCAACAGCAAAGGATCCCAGAAGGAGGGAAGATAAAACAAATCAACAAACACTACTCTTCTCATACACTGGATTGCACTGAATGTGAGGTAAAACAGCAATGCAAGATGAAAAACTTGTCAGACTGTGCTGTAAGTGACAGCAAAGGCAAACAACTTGAGAACAGCTAAATTTTCTACAAGTTTAGAGTGTTGGATAAAATTGTGGAGAAAAAGAGAACAAAGTTTATGTGACTAGTGAAAGAAATATCATTATGAAGGACATTAATTTATGCATTTATTAAATAAGTTTTAGAGGCCAAACAAGGTGCTGGAAAGGCAGGAAAAGAGGCTCCTCATGTGTTGAAGACCAGAAAGCCACATGTGGGCCATGGTGACACAGCCTCTCTCCTCCCACATTAATTTTTATGTACCATTATGGGTTATGCTTTATTGTTAATCTTTTATTGCTTACAAGGAAGTTCATTTTGAGAATGTGGAAGGCACAAGTACCCACATGCCTTCTGTTCCTATACATGCTCAGTCCACTGAGTCTTCTCCAGCTGCTATGGTGAGAGTGATTTCTTGCACTTTAGTGCAAGAAGATTGTGAATCAAGGTGCTGACACCCCCAGCCCTACTTACTCAGGGCTATGGTGTCTGGCTGTCATGACTGGACTAGGAGAGTGTTACTCTAGATGTAAACACTGTTGCCTATGCCCTGTATCAAATGTTCACCCATATCCATGGTACTCACAAGATCAAACCATATTTTACAGATAAGGCTACTGTTCCTCCTCAGTTAGAGTCACTTGTGTTTGATATTACTGACCACACTCTCTCTAGATGCTTATAAACATTTTAGTCAGTGCTGTTCTCTGGGTTCCCCTTCATTTCTGTGAAACTTAGTATTTTTTCCCAAGCTTCTGCTTTCTGTCTTTCTGAAATTTGGTAATATTTGCCTGTCATGTCTGGTGATATTCTTCTGACCTTCCATAATGGTTGATGACTACACATCTGCAGTTGATTCAATCAGTGCTTCAGTAAAATCCATGAATCTGAAGCATCTACCCTGTTCTGTCACCCAGGGTGCTACTCCCTGAGTCCTTGGTGGCAGGGCTCAGAACAGGGGCTAAGATTCAGTGTCCTGAGTACAAATGATTGGCATTAGTGATGACAACGTGAGTCAGTTTTCTTTTCAAAGAAATACATAAATAAAGAAATACGTATTGTTCACAACACAATATAAAACTTCAACTCACATGATTTCTGTCTTCATAACATTATGATTCCAGAGTTTGGTTTTTGTTCTTGAAATGAGTTCAAGAATATTCTTCATGTTTATGAGTTAAAGACTGTTCTTCATAGTGCCTTATATATGAAAATATTTCTCAGGTATGTAATTTTATGCTTTATATGAAAAGGTTTTGTGAAGATGCAATGAAAATGATTGAAGCACAAGTAAGGGAGAGAGACACAGCAGAGTGAAGATGGTTCAGTCAACTTGGGATGCAAAAACAGCAGAGTAGATGGTGTGCTGCACAAAAAGCTAATGATACATATTCAGAGAAACACAACAAAAACAATAGAGCTGCCCAGCATTGGATGGCTGGATCCCTCATGCACATTTGCAGAAGGAAAATAGCCCAGCAGTGGGGCAGAAGTGCACAGCTCTTCCCCACATAATTGACCTAGGATCACCTTAGGATGCAGAGAGGTCACTTCTGAGTCTATACCCAAAGAAGAGGAAAGCAGGGTCTAAGGAGGTATTGAACACCAGTGTGTACAGCAGCCTTAATTACAATAGTAAAAATATGAAAACAATATGTGGATCACCTCTGAAATGAACCTGTAAACACAATTTTTAATGTTTATATATATTTCTAATATATCCTTCACTAAAGAGTAATTTTATAAATATAAGAGTAATATCACAAAAACATGAATGCTGATTTTTTCCAATGTAGTGTAATGAAAAGTCTGTAGACAGACAATAGAAGAGGGATTTCTATGGTAGGGGAGGGCAAGGAGATATTTAAAAGGAACAGATTGAGCTTGGATGATGAAAACATTCAGGAAATGGGTGGTGGGGATGGTTGTTAACATTTCCAATGAAGTAAATTCCATTGAGCTACACACTTAAAAGTTCATGACTTTGAAAATTTCATGTGGCATGTATCTTATAACAAGAGAGATTTGGAAAAATGTAAGAGTGGTCTAGCTAAAATACACACCAATCTCAGGGCAGGGTAGTTTGTCAGAAAAATGTTTACAAGATATACACCTGAACATGAATCTCTTTTTATCACAGTTATACACTATGAAAAGAGAAAGTGGAAAAAGAATGGAAAAGTCACAAATTTATCTTCAAAACCAGCCCCTTTATTTCCATGCATATACAGAGACAGATGTCATGGGAAGGGGAAACATGAGCTTTCCCAACACTTTTGTCCTGCTGGGCTTCTCAGAGTTTCCGTGGCTAGAGAGGCCCCTCTTTGCAGTGGTCCTGGTCACCTACATCCTCACGCTAGTGGGGAACAGCTCCATCATTCTCCTCTCCCTGGTGGACCCCAGACTCCAGTCACCCATGTACTTCTTCCTCAACAACCTCTCTCTGCTTGACCTCAGTCTCACCTGTACCATTGTACCCCAGCTGCTGGCCAACCTGTCAGGACCAGACAAGACCATTACTTCCTCCAGATGCATCACAAAGGTCTTTGTTTTCTGCTGGATAATAGCCAGTGAATGTGCTCTGCTGGCCATGATGGCCATTGATCGCTATGTGGCCATCTGCTGGCCCCTCCAGTATACTCTCATCATGCGTGCCTGGGTGTGTGTGCAGATGGCAGCAGTATGCTGGTCCAGTGGGCTCATGAACTCTCTGCTTCAAACCACACTCACACTCAGGCTTCCTCTGTGTGGACACAACACCCTGGACCACTTCTTCTGTGAGGTTCCTGTGCTCATCAAGCTGGGCTGTGGGGACACCTCTGCTAATGAGCTGGCCCTCACTGCAATGACCATCCCATTTGGAGTGATGTCTTCCCTGCTGGTAGTCATCTCCTACATCTTCATTGCAAGGGCTATACTGAAGCTATCTTCAGCTGAAGGCAGGCACAAGGCACTCAGCACCTGCAGTTCCCATCTCCTGGTGCTCACCATGTACTTTGGGCTAGGCATATTCTTTTACCTCAAGCCTTCAGCCAAGAGTACCCAGGACAAGTTCAAATCCTTCTTCTACTGTGTTGTCACACCTCTGCTCTACCCACTCATCTACACCCTGAGAAACAAGGACGTGAAGACAGCATGGACAAGGATTCTGCAAATTCAGGGCAAGGTGATGTCTTTAAAAGCACAATCTCTGCCTGTCTACTGAGTGACCATAGGCACACATCCACGCATACTGCCAAATCACATCTGCTTTCCCGAAACTGTGTCTATGAATTCCAAGAAAGTGCTCCCAACTCTGTTCTTCAGTCATCTCAATGTTTTGAAAAGCTCTTTGGACTCATAAGGTCTACCACTGTAACTCTCATTGTCAGCCTGCCCCTTATTAAGGCCTCCATATCTGGTCTGCAGACAGAGGAGTAAGCAGCATGATTTTTATGTCTTTGAGCTGGTGGGAAATATCCTTTTTATTCTTTCTTGCTTTCTCATTTGTTTCTTTCCCCCTTTGTATCTTTCTTCTTGTTGTTTCTGTCTGTCTATCCTATTTTAACATGTGTTACTACATATTAATTTTACATTATAGTGGCTCTCCTTTTAACATTTCTCTGTATGCATGTAATGTGGGTTGGTCACACCCCTCCCCTCTTTTCCCCTTCCTAACTGTGCTAAGTCTTCTCCTGAGCACCTCTGCCTTCCCTAACAGTCCATTTTCTCTTATCATGCTATCTTCTTTCCCCAACATTCTATATATGACAATAAATGTGCTATTTGTCTCTTCATGTTCTGCTTGTTTTGCTGTACATGATGATCTTGAATTCCATCAATTACCCTGAAAATGACATGACTTTATTTTCATTTATAATAGAATAATATTCCATTGTTTACTATTTATTATTTATCCATGCATTCACTGATGATCATCTAGGATGATTCCATAACTTTGCTATCATAAATGGTGCTATGGTAAAAATTAATATGAAAGTATCTCTTGTATGCTGACTTTAGCTAGTTTGGGCAATATAACACAGAAGGATAAATCTGGATAATGAGGAAGTTCCACTTTTAGTTTTATTTTCATGTTTTTAAGGAACTTCCATTCTGATTTCACAGTGACTGTAATAATTTACACTCCCACCAACAATGTATGAGGGTTCCATTTGAAATTCATCCTCACCAGCATTTCTTACATTTTATTTTTTGATAATAGCCATTTTGACTGGGATGAAAATGAATTTCAGTGTAGTTTAGATTTGCATTTGCCAAATGGCTCCTTACACTGACCAGTTTTTCCTATAATTATTGACTATCTATACTTCTTTTGAAAACTACCTGTAAAGATCTTTAGCCCACTTATTTGTTGAGATACTTGTTCTTTGACGTTAAGTATTCTGTGTTCTTTACATATTCTGGACACTAATCATCAGTCAGGTGGATAGCTGACTAAGATTCTCCCATTCTGCAGATTGTCACTTCACTCTGTTTATTGCATCCTTTTTGTGCAGAAGCTTTTGAATTTCATGAAATATAATTTGTCAATTCTTTCTTGTATTTTCTGAGCTATTGCATTGTGTTCAGGAAATCAGTGTCTATACCAATATCTTGAAGTGTTTCCACTGAGTTTTTCTCCATTGCTTTCAGAGTTCCAGGTCTTTCAGTAAGGTCTTTGGTCCACTTTTGAATTGATGTTTTCACAGGTGAGACATAGGGATCTACTTTTAGTCTTCTACAAGTTGTTTCCAGTTTCTCAGTCAGTATTATTTGTTGAAAGAGGCTCTTTTCTTCAATGTGTGTTTTAGCTACTTTTTGAAGAACTGATGGCTGTAGATGATGGGCTTATTCCTACTTCATTTATTTTTATACATTGGGTAATGCCACTCCATTTGAGGGAGGGAACAGGAAGGAGATTTTTAAAACAAATGAGGATGTGTTATGTACATGTACCAAGTCCCCACAAAGAATGTCATTATTATGTACTGCAAACATGTACTAAAAATTACAATTAAAAAATAAACCAAAAAATCAATTCTCTATAACTTATTTTGAAATCAGGTGTTGTGGTACTTCAAGCATTGTTCCTCTTGCTCAAGGCTGCTTTGCTCTTCTGGGTCTTCCATATCAATTTTTTCATTTGAATTTTAACATGTGTTTCTCATTCTGTGAAGAATGTCACTGATGTCTTCATAATCACATTTGATAGTGTGGCCATTTTAATTAGGCTATTAATCCTGGTTGAGGATCTCAGCAGAAAGCCTGTTAAAGTTCCAAGAGGCCTTAAGCTGAAAATAGAGTAGAAAGATGTCTAATGAGACAAAGGAGGCCACAGAGACAGAAACAGAACTTAGATACAGAACAGAAAACAGAAGGGCTGCCAGCGTCATTCAGATAGGGAGGATCACACAGTTAAGGTTGGCAAGGAGGGGCCCTGAGCAGTGGTGGCAGGTAATGAAGAAAAGCTTCAATCAGCTGCTTATCCATGAGGAAGATCTACGCTGATGGTCACTGTTGTCCCTCCTATTCATGGGCACCTTTCAAAAGGTGACATCCCTTTGTTGTTGCCAAAATGTTGCAACCCTCAGTAGATGGTTCTTTTTCTCAAATGCAATCAGGAATTGGCAAATTCCAGCTCTGGTAGCAGTTTTGAGGCCACCAAATGATGCCAGGTAAGGCTGGATGCCAACAGTTGTCATGGCCACTGATGCCAAACCTATCTGGAGCAGCTTGCTCCAGATGCCTTAGGTCAAGTGCTCAGTACTAGGCTCTACTGCTGCTCTTTGTTTGAGACAATTGCTCCATCGACAATGCTCAGTATAAGAATCCTAAGGACATTTACAGCATATCTTATTTGAAAAATAAATCACAAGTAGTGTGGAAAGACCACCACAGCAAGTCTTCATTTTAACAGTGCCTGTGGTGCAGCACACAGGGCCAGCATACTGAAGGGAGCCTCAGAGACTAACCAGAGAAGTGTGTGGGGAGAGTACAGGCCTGTGATTTGTTTGAATTTTGGTCAGCTGATTGTTCTACACACAGGTGTGAGATTGGTCCAGTGTGTGCAGGGTTCCAGGACCAGCAGTGTGGTGAGGGTAAGGCCAGGTGTGCTGGTAGACTGATAGCCATTGCATCTCTGGGACAGGAGGTTAGGGCTGAAACCAGGGAAGCTTCAGAAGGTAAGCTGTGTTCATCCTGAGTACTTGAGGTCCAGGAGGTTGGATATGTTAACAGTGGGCTCAGATCACTCCCTCCCTGATCCTGGCCACATTGGGGTGCCCTCTTCTTCAGAGAGTTAGCAGTGCTTCTGGAGTTCCAGGACCAGGTCAGAGGCACCAAAGCTCACAATCTAGCTGCATGCTTCTCATTCAGGCAGGCGTGGAGGAGTGTGGATGCTGAACAATCAGGAGATAGCAAGGCAAATTATCTCAGTCCACTAGGGGTGGGGAGAATAAAAGCAAGGGGAAGGGGCCAGGCAGCCACCAGGCAAGCCATGCACTCAGGCAAGCATGGGAAAATCAGGAAAGTCAGATGCTTGGCTGTTATCTCATGTATACCTGGACCCCAGCAAATATCCAAGCCACACCATCACCCAGGTTGCAGACAAGTATGATCAGGAGCAGTCAGACCTGTGAGTCCTGGGCTGGGGGAACATGAGACTGAGCAACTTGCTGTCCCCTTCTTGGTGCTCTCAGATGTGACTCCCTCTGAGCACCTCACAAGATGTGTCTGGCTCTTTGTCACACAAAGGACCACTGTTCAGAAATGGCATCTGTCAGAGACATGATCTTGGGCCTGCCAGCCTCTAGAACTAGGGAGAAACAAATGTGTGTGGTTAATGCCACCTACAATGTGGCATTTGTTATGGCAGCACACTGTGGCAGACACTCCTGGCCAGGCTTAGAGCAGACTGCAATATGGAGTAGGCATTTTCCTTCATAATTGGCTACAACGTATTCAGAGCAGGACTGAAGACTACATGAATAACAGAAGCATGGCATATGGCCTGTGGGGTAGCATAGCTCCTCTGCCACCATCTGTGATGGAGACCTAATTCCTGGTCTGTGAAATTGCAGGTCTCCTAAGTGAGATAATTGTGGCTGAGGACTCTGTTGCTCCAAACAATATTCCATTCCTAGAGCTATCTCTCCATTAGTTGTTTTATCAACTTACTAGATAACCACATCCTACCTTTTGTCTGCTCTGCTCTTTTCAGAAGAATGCCTTATCTCCTTTCACAAGCCTGCCTGTGTCAGCTGATATCACTGAATGCCACAGGTATCCCTCTACCCTATTTTACTCATGTTTGTATAATCAATAAATACCAGCAGTCCTGGTTGCTTAGGGTCCTAGCTACATGCTTGGGTTTGTCCATCCCAGTTCCCTATTTTGCAGTGAATCATTGTGTTTTATTTTGGCCTTACATTGAAATGCATTGGAATGAATTGCAGGAGATCAGGGCTCATGGCTGGGGACCCCAAAAGTCCACTGTGTAAGTGACTCTTCATATAGACCACAGGTTCCTCTCCCCATATTTGAACCTGTAGCCTGGCTATATGGTAATGCAAATGATGCATTTCCAGGGCTCTCTGTGAACTGATACAGCCCACAGACACAGACAAGATGTGCTGTCTTACAAGGACCTCTTATCCAAGGCAGCACACAGAGTCTGGTAGTAAGACATGGACAGCTGAGCAGCACATGAGAGGATCCACTGAAGCCTGGAAAGAATAGAGAGCAGAGGGCTCCTTGTTGACAGATCACCCGGGACTCTGAATATCCCAGTTTCTAAGGTGGTCTGTGTGATCTACAGTTTGACATGTGCTTGTTGTGTTTATGTGTTTAAAATAAATTATTTCATTAGTTGTTCAAAACTTTGGCAGAAATTCCTGCAATTCAGATTTTGTTAAGTGTCTGACAAATGCCCCAGGACACAAAACAGTGGAAGAGGGTGGAATATTCCATAGTTTGGACTGGGTGGTGATCTTCTGGTTACATGATCATGGTCCACTAGGAAGCAGTGTCTATGTCTGCTCCTCTATCCCCTCTTTCCCACATTTTGTACCTCTGATCACACAAGGTGAGATTTCCCTCAAAGGCACCCCTTCCATGGTGTCCTGTGAAGTCATTGGCCCAAGACAAGGTGGTCTACCTTTTGTGGACTGAAATTTCCAAACTGTGAGCCAAAATAAACTTTTCATTCATAGACTTATTGAGTGT